CCCAAAACCCCAAAACCCCAAAACCCCAAAACCCCAAAACCCCGATATAAAACGTAGAACTTGAAACATTAAAATATAAATATTTTTTCAATATGAATCCAGACTACGACTATCTCTTCAAAATTCTCCTCATCGGAAATTCAGGAGTAGGAAAATCATCTCTGCTTCTTAGGTTTGCAGATGATACCTTCACTGACAACTTCATGCCAACCATTGGAGTCGACTTCAAGATTAGAACCCTCGAAGTTGATGGAAGAACCATTAAGTTGCAGATATGGGATACTGCCGGTCAGGAGAGATTCAAGACAATCACTAGTTCCTACTACAAGGGTGCCCACGGAATTATCGTAGTATACGATATTACCGACAAAGAATCCTTTAAAAACATCGATAATTGGATGACCGAGGTCGAGAAGCATGCCTCAGAAAATGTAAGCAGAATTCTCGTAGGAAACAAGTGCGATATGGACGAATCTAGACAGGTCAGCACAGACGAAGGTAAAGAGCTTGCAGACCAATACAATATTAGGTTCATGGAAACCTCTGCCAAAGAGAGCTCCTTTGTTGAAGAAGCTTTCACCTTGATGACTAAAGAAATTAAGAGCAGAGTCGTTCATACAGACCAGAGAAAGCCATCTGGAACTGGTAAAAAGTTAACTGCTCCAAAGAAAAAGATTGAGAAGAAGAGTGGAGGTTCTTGCTGCTAAATGATATAATTATTGACAAACTTGTTTGTAATAAGTGTTCTGCCTTTCCCCATCCCTTGTTTGGTTAGAAGACCCTGCTATATTTTCAACTAATTTTTAACTTTTTATCAGGTGCTTGGAGAACCGTGAAAATTTTTGCCAAAATTACCCTACTCCTTCAGCAAAGCCACATCTCAAAAAGGAAGGAATATATAGACCTTTTGAATGTATTCTGCCAAGCTGTTCACAAAGATCTCTATCCTACTCATCTATTCAAGGACTAGAATCATTTATGTTTTTGTCAGAAAGGAGTATTGAGCTTCAATCTGACTTTTCTATTAAGGGGTTTTGGGGTTTTGGGGTTTTGGGGTTTTGGGGTTTTGGGGTTTTGGGG